GCACGCGCGCACACACACACACACACACACACACACACACACACACACACACACACACACACACACACACACACACACACACACACACACACACACACACACACACTCACACACACACACACACACACACGTCAAAGTTCCCGTGTGGATTTTGGATTTCCCGTCGGACTTTAACGGTGGAACGTCGAATTTACGAGAATTTTCCCTCATGGCGAGAATACAAAGTGCCAATTGGGACCATATGGAACCCAGAGTGTCGCCGTCTGTCAAACACGACTTAGCTGCCATTCCTGTATAATTTGGCGAGAGGGCGGCTACTTCGGGCTTATGAATTCCGGAAAGAGAAAAGTTGATTTGGATAGCTGTGACGGGTCGGATAATCTTTTTTTTCGCGAGGTTATTTGCGTATATCTTTACGGCTGGTGATGACAAAAATGATATGTCAGAAATAAGAGAAATGAACTAAAGTAAGACTAATACAAAAAATGTCTCTTTCTCTAACTCCAGTCGCTAAAGGTGAGTCCGAACTGGGTAGTAATTACGTGTATTTACTTTCCAGTCGCGCACCTGGCAGGCCGCCTCTGTAAAACGAAAATAAACCAAAAGGCAAAACAAATATACAAAATATTAACAAATCGAAACATATATTACACGCGGGCTAAATGTGCAACCTCGTCACAGCTATAACGAACACATCAAAGTAAAACAAAAATAAATAAAAAGGGAAAAAGTAAAAAGGAAAAACAAAACAAAAATAAAAAACGAGTCGAGGTTTTGAACGTTTGCCAAGTATTTGAAACGTGGAGGAAAAAGTCCTCAGAGTTTTTAAGGGTGGAACGTGCCATCATAGCAATTCTTTGGGGTCGAGGGTTCGCGCGGTAAATGTTGTAATATATTTCGGTTTTGCTCCTTGTTGGTGTTATTTTTTTCTCTTCGATACTACTCAGTGACAGACACGTTCTAAGTGAAAAAGGTGAGTTGCTGTATATGATACAAGAAATCACATTTTGTCAACATTATCGTATCTGCGGCGCCTAGATTGCAAGATTTATGTACAGCCATATTTTTTTCTTTTCCCTTAGAAGCATCATTGTCAAATTTAATTTACTGTTTTTTTTTCTTTTTCTTTAACAAGTAATTACTCTTCAAAGACCAGAAGAGTTTACTTGAAACTTTAACACTGACTTCGACAGCACTGATCTTCTTTTTTAAAAGTAATTAAAAGAAAAAAAACTTTCATTTTACACAAGTATGTCCAAAAATTATATCCATCAGCTGAGCTCTTCCATTCAGTCCAATTTCCCTTTTTCTCATTAATTCTATACACACTTCCAAATACCACCAATCACTAAAACAACACACGCAGATTGAAACTCGCGTCGCCTCAAAACAATTTTCCATTTCATTTCCTCCAAAAGCACATTAATTCCACGGGAAAATGGCGTAAATCCTCGAGTGAGGAGGGACACACTCCCACCCTCCACCGCGGTTCTACCCAGACTGGCCGCGCTCACGCAACAAAAGCGACGAAAACGGAAACCACTTGTGACAGAAAACGAAGTTCTAATAAACATGTTACAGAAGAGAATGATCACTGATATTGCTACATCAAATGAGACAAAGGGACTTTTATAGAAAATAAATCTTGACAAAGGAAATGCTCTTGTGAAAAATAGATGGGCGGAAAGCCAAGGAATCTGAAAAGACTCACTCAAAATTTGACTAACGAGCAGCTGATGGCGGCGAAAACGCTTTTTTATGGCATGGTGTGAGAGTAATGTAACTAATTAGATTAATTAATTACACTATTTATGCACTAACATTGTTGAAAGTATATTTACAAGAGACGATCATTACATATTTATCTTCACAAACAGACGGCATCGTGGAAAATTCAAAGTACATATCACGTATGTAAGTGTGCATGAAACTATAAGTAATACACACACACACACACACACACACACACACACACACACATATATATATATATGTGTATGTGTGTGTGTGTGTGTGTGTGTGTGTGTGTGTGTGTGTGTGTGTGTGTGTGTGTGTGTGTGTGTGTGTGTGTGTGTGTGTGTGTGTGTTACTTATAGTTTCATGCACACTTACATACATGTACTTTGAATTTTCCACGATGCCGTCTGTTTGTGAAGATATATATGTAATGATCTTTTGTAAATATACTTTCAACATAACATAACTTTCAACAGTACATAAATAGTGTAATTAATTAATCTATGTACATATACATACATACATATATATATTATATATATATATATATATAATATATATATATATACATATATATACATATATATATATATATATATACAAATATATACATATACAAATATATATATATATATATATATATATATATATATATATATATATATATATATATATATATATTTATTTATTTATATATACACATGCACCATATGTAAATAACATATAACGTCATTCACAGGGCCGGGCGTGACGCCATGGGAGAACCAGTGACCTGGGAGCCGAACAAGGCAATAAACAGTAAAACTAGGAAAAGGGATGACGCCGAAATTCATCTGAAGTTCGCTGGTTCTTGCCAACTTTTGGAATCTTCTCACGGGAAAT